CCACAACACCTGGCTATTTTTTGGTTGCAGCCATCATTGTTTGGCAGGCCGGGCTGGATTCAAACCCTCCTGCTTAGGTGTACATGGCTGGTGCCTTAGCTGCTTGAGCCACAGGTGCCGAGCCGGCTTGTTACTTTTGGATAAAGTCGTGATCATTAGATCTCTCTAATGTAAAGAAATATTTTTCTTCTCAATTAATATTTACTTCATGTTTTCTGGTGCTATTGGTATATCAAAATATTACTAATATTTCTTGTTACAAAGAGTAAGTGTTCCCCTTTCTCCTTCCATTCCCCTTTCCTGGGTACTTCATTTCTAAAGACATTAGATGCTTACAGCAAGGTAGGATTCCATACAGAGGCATGTCCCAGTATGGTGTCTGAGCACTGGCAGGGTAAGGAAAGAATCTGTGGGGATAGGATTCCTACACATATGGGAACCCCCCAAGAGACACCACAGCTCAAGTAGTGTGAGGAGGATGTTCATTTGCAGATAAAGGTTCACCATGGGGTATTAAAGCCCAAGGCAGGTGAGGTGGTGGCCATGGGTGGGATAGAGCCCAGATATGGCAAGAAGAGGGCCCACAAGGACTATGGACTAGTGTAGGGGGTGAGCCCAAGTCTTAAAGACATTAGATGGGTAGAGCAAGGATGAGAGGGGTCTGTGCAAAGGAGTGGATGGCAGCAGAGATGGGACAGGGGAAACAACAGGGAGAGGGACTGAATAAGTACATAAGTTAAGGGTAGTGGGGGCCAGATTTCACACTGTCAGCAAAGACTTGCAAATACACAAGAGAAAAAACACAAAATTAATCTTGTACAGTTAAAATGGAATTGAAAGTATCAATGTGAAGTGTGTGTGTGTGTATGTGTACACGTGTATTTTCCCCTGGCTCTGTCTTTGGGAAGGTTTTGGAGCATAGCTTGGTTTCTAAATACTCATCTGCTCTAAAAGGGCTTCTTGGAGAAATGGCTGATCTGGGGTTGGCACCAAGAAAGGACAAGAACAGCCTAAAACATGCTCTAGGAGTGATGGGACATGTCAAAAGGACATAGGAGCCTGTGTGAAAGGCTCAGACTGGCCTAATCTGGCACAATTGAGCATCAGAGTAAACTAAATAATGATAATAAACAATTATAACCTGTTACATGAAGTAGGAGTCCATGAAATCCATGAGTTCATACTGTTACTAATGAAAGAATGAACCTAGTGATTCTTTCTTCTTAAACTTTCAGTTTGAATACACTTTAAAATACCCCCCCACACACACATACACATCCATAATCTTTATTAATTTCTAAGGTCAGGTTGGGAACAGTAACTGTACAGTTAGAGAAGCCTCGCAGTCCCATCCTAACTCAGTTGGTCAAAGTGAACATCACCTGGTGGGACAGATTGAAATCATGTGCCACTTTGTATGATGCTGTGAGAACAGAGCATCGTTTTTGGATATTCATGCCAAAGACACATTAGTTAAATCTGATTGTGAGGAAGCATCAGACATACCCAAATTGAGTGACTTGCTGTGAAACTTGCCTTTAATCTTCAAAAGTCTCAGTGCCTTCAGAGTTAAAGACAAAAGAACTATTCTAAACTGAATGAGACTAAAAAGACATGACCAGTAAATATGATGTAACAGGTGGCTCTGAA